AGGAGGAGGAGGAGGAGGAGGAGGAGGAGGAGGGTATCCTTTCGTTTATTCTTGATGAATTTCGGTATAAATTCTACATTCACACACATAGTATTCAATGAGGACAGGGCAAAGTTATCTGCATACATTTAGAAGTGTATTTCTATGAAGGGCAAAGAGTACCCTCTTCAATGACGCATGTCTGTGATTTTCCATCCACAACACCGTTTCACAGCAACGCTGAACATAGCATAAGAATCCTTGAGAAAGGACAGTTCTCACCAAGACTAAGTCCTTGACTCATTGGTCCTTGCAGAGATAGGGGAGGTGAGATGGGGTTCGGGTTGAAAGGTGAGGGGGTAATTTGAATGTCAAAAGCAAACTTAAGTCCCCGTTTTTATACCGGTAACTTAAATCCTTCTCCTCCTCCCCCGTTCTTCCTCCCTCTCCTCCTCCTTTAAAAAATGTTTTTTTCACTCTTCTTTTCTTCTGTACAAGACGGGGAAAGCACAGCAAAACAGTGACAACGTGGAAGATTTTGACTCAAAGAAAACACAATAAAGTAAAAGGAAAACAAGACAGAACTTACACAAAACCGATGCATTTCTTGGAGGCAGCGAGAAACCCCCCCAAAAAAAATGGATTGCTGATGCCTCTATAAATAAATTATTGATGGTCAAGGTCAAGAGAAACAAAAAATGATTACAATTTATGTAACGTATGTCAACAGAGAAAACAACCAACTCGCAGATAACACAAATGTAGCTGTGTCTGTTATCTGTGCCGCGTGTAGCTGCTCTAGGTAGCAGATAATGACAGTGGTCAGCCAGAAGGGCAAACTTTGTTAAAATAATAACAATAATAGTTTTCACGCTCCTCTTTTTCCCCTTCGTGCAAGCTCATTTAGCCGGTGCACCCGTTTTTTGTCCCACTTTCGTAAGCCACGATTTTACCCATTTTCGTCCCACATGTGCAATATATTGTAACCGGTTACCATTTGATATATGATCTCTGTCTGTCTGTCTGTCTGTCTGTCTGTCTGTCTGTCTGTCTGTCTGTCTGTCTGTCTGTCTCT